TTTGGAGACCAGTTTGGCCTCAAACTCACAGAGATCCACCTGCCTCTGCCTCCCAAGTGCTAAGATTAAAGGCATGCGCCACCACCGCCCGGCAACAAAACGCTTTTTATATTCAAAAGGGTATAAAACTCCATGGTTGGAAACTACCAAGGGATAACAAACTAAACCCAAAATCAACAGAAGGAAGAAAAAAATGCACTCAGAATGCAGAGGCAGGAGGAATGCCCTATGCATGAGGCTAGCCTGGTCTACCTAGCAAGTGCAAAGAAAGGAAAGCAAGTTCCTGGGAAAGGTCACTGGACTGGTTACGAGAGGGAAATGTCACTTTCAGGAAAGAATAAGTAACAACAGCACAAACACATTGCGTATGAAAGGATCCCCTGCAAAACACAAACTATCAGAACTGGAACAAGAAGAAACAGAAGGTCTCAGTGGTCCTGCGTCTACTGAAGAAATGAGAATCTATGTGGAACCTTCCTGCTCCAAGCCAAGCCCGTTTTGCCAGCTCTGCAGCGAGCAGGCCAGCCACTGAAAGGACATACTTGTAGAAGAGTAAAGAACTTATTCATTGGCTGCCTAGCAAGTGGACACAGGAAAGCAGGTCTGAACTCCACCAACCAGGCCTGGGGAGAGGTGACTGGGCCACACTTCATCCCAAGGCCCTGTTAGGTATCACCACAGTCAGCAGACAGTGACTCAGCAGGTGTGGGGGCGGGGAGTCTATTTGGGACATTGGGTGCCTTGTTCAGGTTTCCCCCCGAGTTTTGCTTCCAGCAAAGAAAACCCCCAGTTCTGCCGGGAGGAATCCTGTGCAGTTCTGCAGAGCCCACACATGCCTACAAAAAGTACACAGCAGTCATCTTGCTCCAGCCTCAAAAATGGAGACACCTAGGGCTGGCAGAGCCATGTCTCCAGCTGGAGATCTGAACCCATGACTCAGTGTCCACCTTAGGAAGCCAGACAAGGAGAACCCTCCTGAACTCAAAACAATCAAAAACAACCAAATTCTACTTTAAAAAAAAATGAAGTTCTGGTCCAGGCAACAGCATGGATGGATCTCAGAAATACTCACACTTAGTGAAAAAAAATCAGATACCCAGAAGCACACGGCGAAGGACCATAAATACATACAATACCAGAAATTCCACTGGTATTCATCATCATCATCATCAATTAAATGTATTTTTAATTTATTTTTATTTTGTGTGTATGGGTGGTCTGCCTTCATGTAGGTTTGTGTATACTATGTGCGTGGTATTTTCAGAGACCAGAAAATGGCAATTAATTCCCTGGAACTGGAGTGACAGATGGTCGTGAGCCACCATGTGGGTGCTGGGAACTGAACCCAGTTCTTCTGGAAGAGCAGTCAGTGCTCTTAACCACTAAGCAACCTCTCTGATCCATATATATTCGTGTGTGTTTATGTGTGATATGTGTGTGCAACATGTGTAATATATATATACATATATATATATTACACATCTATATGTGTACATATGCAATATATGTTGCACATATTCTATATTACATAATATATTACATATATATTATATGGTCCATATATATTAATTGGGAATAAATAGGCTTCAACATTTCAAATATTTAGTTTTTTCTAAGTGCAGTGGTGCCTGCCCTGTCTAATCCCTGGCTTCTCTGAACAAAGTGTATAGCACACTCACAAACAGAAACACCCACAATGCCTCTGCTGCCGAGACAGTCCTGCATGCACAAATCCCATAATCCATGCCACATCCACTTGGGTCAGGCTGGGCCATACATTGAGGAGACTGCAGAGCTGTAGGGAGGAAAACATTTAATTTTCTGAATTTTGAAATTTGCATTGCAGACAAGAAGCTCTGGTACTAACACAGTGAGCAGACAAAAGGGAGTGGGAGACAAGGCAGGAACCACACACACACACACACACACACACACACACACACACACACACCAGCTTCTGGGTAACCTGGAGGCTTCCCAGCAGCCATAGTGCTCTGGGATTGAGCTGGCATCTGTTCTGTATCCTAGAAGGCAGGGAGAGGACCAAGAGCAGGGCCCAGGCCAGACAAGCAGGCTTTAATCAGATTCTGCCATCTGTGGAGAGCAATTGCCATCCCAGTGATGGGCGAACCAAGTAAGGCTAGGGATGACACAGACATCCCTACCTACAGGGGGCGCTCTAAGTTAGTCTTCTGCCCTGCAAGACAGTCCTCCTTGGGTTCACAGTGTCTCTAGTTTAGGACTTCTTTGGGATACATTCCTAAAAGTTTAGTTGCTTAGACAAATGTATTTTAGGGTTTAATTGATGTCAATATTGTTTTTTTTAACTGCTGTTGCCAAAACTTTCACACATACACACACAAAAAGCTGTCAATTCAGTCACCCTGCCACCAGAGAATGCTTCCGTTCAGTTACAGCTCTGCTAGGCATTCTCAGTGCTGTGCACACAGGGCCTTGGTGAACGGAAGAGACGGTACTCCCAAGCTGTGTGGGGCTGCTGCCTGCTGACACTTGTACAGCGGCTTCTTTTATAAGCAAGAAGTATACTCCAATAATGATCAAAGGAGTGGATGCGTAAGCCAGCAACAGAGTCATTTATCATGATCAAGGACTACACACCTCACCATAATTGTGTGTGTCGGGTTTGACAGGTCTGGTGGCACATAAGCCTGTTCCCACCAGCGTCTCACTACATTACCACTAACACACACACACACACACACACACACAAAAAAAAAAAAAAAAAAAAAACCTGAGCAAAGGCACTACAACATATGCAATAGAAATCTCCCAGATCCATTTAACTTAACAGGACCAGATTGTCTATGGTCCACAGTTGATGGAAATGACATTATACATCCGGTCTTTATGCAATCTTGGCCCAAGTTATGCATTACTTTAATTTCCATTTCTTTAATATTCGTTATCTATTTATTTGGGGGAGATGTGTGGAACATTACACCAGTGTGTTCGTGTGCACGTCCATCTGGACATCAGGTCTCTTTCTCTATTGCTTTCTGCCTCACTGTCTTGAGGATCTTTAAAGCCGAAACTCACCGTTTCAGCAAGGCTGGCTGACTAGCAAGCTCCCAGAATCCACCTGGTGTCACTCCCCCCGACCCCCGACCACCAGTGCTAGGAATACGGACACATGCAGCAGTGCCTGCTTTGTTTGTTTGTTTGTGTTGTTTTGGTTTGTTTTGTGTTTTGATGTGGGTGCTGAGGATTCAAACTCAGGTCCTCAAGCTTGCCCAGCAAGCTCCCTTAGCCACTGAGCCACAGCCTCAGCCTCCACTTTCCACTTCTTAACTATCCGACAGGTTGAGTTTATGCCACCTTCATCCCATGTCGCTCCCTTTGTCATTTTCAAATGGGTTGTCGTAGTTACTTTCCAGTTGCTGTGAAGAGACACTATGACCAAGGCAACATATAAAGGGAAGCATGGATTTGTGGGTCAGAATGCAGTTTCAGAAGGTCTGTGACCATCGTGGCGGGGTGCATGGCAGCAGGCAGGCACACATGGCCCTGGAGCATTAGCTGAAAGCTTACATCTGGTCCAAAAGCAGGAGACAGAAGAGAGAGAAAACTGGAAATGGTGTGGGCTTTTGGAACCTCAAAGCCCATCCCCAGAGACACACCTCCTCCAAAAGAGCTATACCTCCTAATCCTTCCTAAATAGTTCCACCAACTAGGGACCAAGCATTCACATATATGAGCCTATGGGGACAATTGTCATTCAAACCACCACATTCCACTTCTGGTCCCCACAGGCTTGTAGCCATATCATAATGCAAAATGAATGTAATCCAACTCCAAAAGACTCCATAGCTTTTCACAGTCTCAATACTGTCAAAAAGTCTAAAGTTCAAAGTCTCTTCTGAGACTCAAGGCAATCTCTTACTTGTAACCTTTGTGAAATCAAAAAGCAAATTACAGAGTTCCAACATACAATGGCACAGAATATACATTACCATTCCAAAAGAGAGGAAAGGAACATCTTATTCTCAATGGTATCTTTCAACTTCATTTATGTTTATTGAACAAACTTCCTTGAACATTTATCAATATTTTCTAAGACTGGGGAGGGGGCGGTTTTAAGAGGATGTCCCTAACACCAGAAGAACGTTGGAAACAAAAACCTCAGACTTGTTGACTTATGGAATCTGGGAACATTGGAAATGAAGATCCCATCAATTATAGCCAACCTACTGAGTTAGAGTAGGGACTTCAAGAATCCTGTATCTAGAAAGACGTTGCATTTATTCTTGAACAATCATGTCACTAAGAAATAGTGGAGCACCTACCACAAGCTGCCACCCTGCCAGGCACTGAGAACACACTTCAAATGGAACAGTCCTGCCTATGATGCCCACCATGTCTCAGGGCCACTTTCACTGACATATCTGGTCTGAGCCCTCAGCTCATGCTGGGAATACATCCTCCCAGGCTTGTGGGTATCCTGTACACATCTGGGGGTACCTTGAAGAATGTGTTCCCCGTCTCTGAGATCCATCCAATAAGCAAAAGAGCTGAGTCCTGGAAACCCGGGGGATAGGGGGTTGAGGGGGTGGAGTCAGGGCTCTCCAGCTAGGGGTTGAGGGGAGTGCCTCCATCCCTGCCCGCCCCACCTGCTCACAGATGGCCAGAAAGTCGGTGCCGTTCCTGAACACAGATGTGTGGTCCAAGGAATTGCTGTGGAGCCTTACCAAGTCTAGCCGGACGCAGCAAGAGCACACCCCAGAGAAGGTAGGCCCACTGCCCCCAGGGACCCCAGCCTGTTCACCACACAGGCCCATGGGTTCTGTCATAGGATACAGGGGGGTGGGGGGCTTGAAAGAAATTGGTGGCGCTAAAAGGAGCAGGAGCTAAGCCTGGGCAACTGGCCTAGAAGTATCTCCCTCCCTCACAGGCTGGGTTTTAAGGCCACCCTGGGGCAAGATGGGAAGGGTAGCCGTAGGGTCAAGAAATGCAGGGAAGTTGGCTATAGGAGCTCAAGCCAGGTGGGTCAGGACAGGATGTTGAAACCCACCAGGCCTTCCTGTTCACCTACTATGGGCTAATCCTTCAAGCTGAGGAGGACAGCAGCAACATCAGGACACACCTCAAAACCCTCTTGGAAACATCTCACCAGTGGCCTAAGCAAAGGGAGGTAAGGGCCCAAGATGGGGGGAGGTGGGAGGTGGAGGTAACGACCCAAGCAAGGGGAGGTGAGGACCCAAGCTGGGGGGGTAGGGAGTGGGGGAGTGAGGGCCCAGTCTCTTTTGATCATCTAACTGCCTAGCCCAAACCACAGATTTAGACATGGTCACACACTGAGCCCTAATCCTGGTCATAAAGTGACTTGTACTGGTCACCTACTGTCCCTGATCTCCATCACACACTGAGCCCAGACCCTGGTCATACTCAGCCTTGTCCCTAGTCACAAAGTGAGCCCTCGACTTGGTTTGACTTTGAACTGTGATCATCACACACTGATCGTTGGTCCTGCTCACACACTAAGCTCCTATCTTCATCGCACACTGAACCTTGATCCTATCGTAGACAGACCCCTGATCCCCATCCCACACTGAACTTTAATCCTGTCACATATGAAGTCCTGACCCTGGTCATACACTGAGTTCTCCTGAGTCTGGTCACATACTGAGTCCCCATCCTGGCTATACACTGATCCTTTATAATTCTCATACAATGGGTTTTCGTTCCAGTCATACTCTGAGTCCCAATGCTAGTCAAAACCTCGGCCCTCATCCTGACTATATGCTGAGCCCCTGATCCTCTTCATGGGCTCCAATCTTAATCATACTGTCAGAGGCTTGACCATGAACACACACTGAGGCCTGATCCTTGTCGTATACTAAGCCCAGATGGTGGTCACGGACTCTAATCCTAGTCACATGCTGAGCCTTCATCTTGGTCACATCTTGATCTCTGGCCCTCATCACACAACTGGGCCCTGATCCTGGTCACACCCTGAGCCCTGATCACAGCATGAACTGACTCCATCACAAACTGTAATCTCATCCCTGTCTTCTCATACATATCTTTATTCCTACTCCTGAGCATGTCTGCTCAGAGCTGGCATGAGAGACACCCAACCCCAAAGGCTTCCTTCCTCTCTACCTCTTTCCTCCACAACGCTACCCACCTGACTCCACAAGAGACACCTCATGGGGAGTGTCTCAGCTCTGAGTTGTGCATCCTAAAATGTGTGTGAGTCCCTGCCCCCTGCTGGTGGGCTGGGGAGGCACTGAGTCCAGGTCCCAGACTCAGGGGACTCTGCCCACAGGGCATTGCTCTCACAGTGGGACTGGTTGCAGTACGCCACTTGGATGACGCCTGGGCCATCCTAGAACAGTTTGGAAGGAGCACTCCCATCAAGTGGAGCCTGCAGAACTTATCTCTGAAGGTATCAACTCAGGGCTCCTGGGGGTTCGGGGCCAGGGGCCGGAGGGTCATCAAATCCCACACGGCCGGAAGGGAAGCATAGTAACTACTGTAGGGTTATGGTTGTCACTGAGGCAAGGATTTATTTGAAAAGTGAGGCACTTGGCCTGAGAGCTGCTTGTGGACACTGGAGGGGATGCCATGCTTCTGCCGTTTTACTGCACCCTACATGATCCCCCTTGGGAGACACAGTGCCTGGGAACCATGCCACTGGGGTTCCTTGGTGGGGGAGGCTTCTGGACGCTCTTTGCAGGTCTGCTCATGGTTAACCCTGCAACCCAGAGAGAAGGCCAGGGGCCTCCGACGGGTCTTCGCATTTGGCGAGTGGCAGAACCGAGGTGCATGCCTCAGACTCTCAGAGGGTACCTGGCACCTGATAAATAATATCACCATGCTAGCACTCTGGTGACATCTGAGGGGAGAGGTGACTCCGGGCCACACCCAAGCAGGAAATTCCACTTGGCCCGTGACTGTCTCTCTGAAAAGGAGCATAATATTCCCAGGCCCCCAGAAGCCCACAAGGGTTATGGTGTGCCAGACTCTGTCTCATACAGTAAGAAAGGGGGTGCCAGGCTGTGGGGAAAGGGCTATCACAGGAGACACCCCAACTCTTCCAGTTCCAATAGAACCAAGTGTCTCAGTAAAACCAGTCCAACCCCCTAAAAAGCCATTTCCACTTCTCATTTGGTTCTCATTTGGTGAACAAAGACCCTCTAGACACCCCCCTCTCCCACCTTGCTGGGATCAGGGTATGCCCCTCTCACCACTCCCCAAGTCGACTGGGCAAGGCCTGACACCGAATCCACCCCTACCCGGCCCCACGGCCAGAGCCTCGAGGATCTTCGGTGGAAATGGGCTGGCAGCACCATCCTCCTCTCCTACGGCCAGATGGCAGCCAAGGCCAAGAGCCACATCCTGCCGTGGGTGGACAACATCTTGTCCAGGATGATCTTCTACTTCCGCTTCAGCTCCTGGGTACAGGTTGCCCCACTCACCACCACCCCCAGTCCTGCACCTCCCCGGCGGCGGCAGAGCCCGGATTCCAGCTCCGCCCTGCCCCGGTTCCAGAGTCAGAGAGGCCCAAAGCCACCTTTGGCCTATGCCCACCTCCCCAATGCTCCCAACTCCTGGAATCACACACACACACACACACACACACACACACACGCACGCACGCACGCACGCACGCACGCACGCACGCACGCACTCTTACAAAGCAAATGCTGGATTGTCACTTGGGGAGGGGTTGGATACGGAGGGGCCAGGGTTATGCCCACCTCTTAAAGAGCACCATAGCCCAGGTTGCCACAAGGGCCAGCAACAAGCCTTACCCATCAAGGCTGTAGCCACCGCTCCAGAAACCCTCACAGGCCCCTCTCTCGTGTTTTGACCAGGCTCACAGAATTCACGTGTTTAAAACAAGAGCCTGTGCCCCTTCCTAAAGTAAACGCCACTCATGAGCTCCCAGACCAGTCAGTCGTCTTTGCCACATCCCTCTCACCCTGACCCAACTGCACCTGGAGATGGTGGCCTTGGCCCTCCCTTCTTGCTCTCTCCCATAAGCTCCTGGGCTCTCAGCCTTATCTGTGCCCTGGGGCCTGACCTACACAGGATGAGACCCTGAAACAAAGCTTCCTTACGGCCATCATGATGCTGGTGGGGGCCATCAGCCGGAGTGAAGGTGCCCACAGCTACGAGTTCTCCCAGACTAGCGAGCTCCTGGAATGCCTGACGGTACGTGCCAGCCCCTTGGGCCTGGGCAGCCCTCCTAGGCAGAGCCCCTACCTCAGACCAGCAGCTTCTCCAGGCATAGGAAGCCCCCTCCCTCAGCCCATCCGAAATACTCCATGTCCCCCAGGTTACTTGAATCTTGCTGGGACCCTCAGCAGACCAGGTATGCCCACATTGCAGCCAATGCCACTGAGGCCCAGAAAGGCTAGCACACTCCATTCTGCATGCTTTCTTGGCTCGGGTCCCAGACCAATCACTTAGGATCTTGGCTTCCTAGATAGATCCTTTGGGACAGTGGGACATGCACGAAAGACCGGGCAGTAGTGTCAGGGTCAAAGGGCATTGATTAAGACAGGGTGGCTCCTGTCCCCTGCCTGGGACCCAACAGCAAAGTGGAATAATTTCGAAGGAAGCAAGAGTCGGAGCAACCTGGAGCTAGTCCAGGGAGGGAGAGGCAGCTAGGACTCAAACCTGGCCTGTCCAATTCCAGAGGCCACGCTGGCTCTCTAAGGGGGGGACCAGGTCTCACTACCATGTGGATAAAGACAGACAGCATCGTTGCCCGAGCTGCCTAGGGTGCTGAAATTCTGAGGTAGGGCTAAGATTTGGTAAGATTTGGTATCAGAGGTGGAGTCAGCAAGGCCTGGACCTCTGCACCTTCTCCTGTGGCTTTACAGACACTAATGGAGAAAGAGCCGCAAGACACACTGCTCACCAGCATCCGCCAGCAGGCCATCCACATTGTCGCCAGCCTTAGGTAGGTTACAGCCTATGGGGACTGCCTTGGCTCCCCCAAAAAAAGCAGCTCCCGGCCCGAGATGCTAGCTGGACAAGGTGGAAGCGAGTCATACATCAAGGCCCTGCTGGTCAGAGCTTGGAGCTGAGCCACCCCGCAGGTCACAGGGGGCGGGAAGGGGGCTGGAACATTTACCCTGAGCACAGCTACTCCACACAGGAAGCTGACTTCCTCCCCGAGGAAAGAAGCATCTAGATGGAGGCCAAAAGGGAGCTGTGTCTAGCCCTAGCCAAGCTCCAGGGAAAGGGAATAAAGCTGGGTCCAGAGAGCTCAAGAGCCCCAGAGTTGGGGATGCAGGCCCCTGTTTATCTCTCCACCCACAGATCAGGTTAGACCAGGGAGGAGGTTAGACCAGGGAGATCAGAGTTGCCTGCTCTCAGACCATAGCAGGCAATCCACATGACGCTTGGCAGGGTGGCAAACGGAGCTGGATGGGCATCCACTCGGACTGCATTCCCAGGTGCCTCGCCTCTGCTGGCCCTCACTGCATATGCACCCAGTGCACAGTCACTGTTGATCCCTGGGTGCTTGGGGACTGTCAGGTCTCTTAGGACCCAACTGGAAGCCAATAACAAACACCCCCGTTCTCCAAGCACGACCCTGGAAATGGGATGCATACCACACATAGGGCTGGGACAGGTGCTGGAAGAGACTGAAGCAGGAAGTGAGATTGGGAGGAATGTGACATCCTCGCCAGGCAGAGAAGTGTAGGAGCCCCCGGCACTGCGTAAAAGAGGCTGATTGACAGCTGGTCGAGTACTGAGGCATGGAGTGGTCCTATAAGCCTGGTGCTTTGCTAGAGTCCAGGGCACGATCTGAGGCTGACTCAAGTTGGCTGAAAGGGGACTGTTAAGCAAAGTCGTGCGTGGATGAGTCAGTGAGCCCTGCAGGTATCTGGCTGCAGGAACGGCACTTTCAACGGCCCTCAGCCGGCACGTGCTTGGGTTGACGGACCAGTAGTAGACTGGAGAGGTGGGTGTGTACAGGAACCCCTGTGAGAAGCAAAAGGCTGTACGGTCTGCACTGTCAGGAAGAGATACAAGGGGGTGTCTGAGCCCTGACCGCTGCCTTCCCGGTCCCAGGCCCTCAGGATCCCTCACCCTCCCAACAGTGCCCTGAGGCCACCCATGGATGTGGACAAGAAGTCCCGGCTCCTCTCCGTCTGCTTCCGCAGCATCTTTGCCCTGCCACTGCTGGATGCCCTGGAGAAGCACAGCTGTCTCTTCCTGGAACCACCCAACATCCAGGTACAGCCTGCACACCCCAGGGCAGGACGTGAGGCTCAGTCTTCTGTGTGTGGCAGGGTGGGGAACATGGTCTGGCCACTCCACAAGCATGGCGGAGGCCCTGCATAGTTGCCTAAAGACTCATTTGCCCACCTGGGGCATGGCCCATTATCATCATTTGGTCCGTGCTAAGGTAGGTGGCTTACCTGGTGTGTGCCTGTTCAGCAGCTCTGTACATAATGGTATATGCATGTTCTCCTTGCTGACCTAAAATCCATGTAGAATAGGAAACACAGAGGCACTCACCACTGTGTTTCCCTCCCTCCAAGCCCCATGGCCACCCAAGGAATTCACAGAAGAGAAGAAGATGGCTCTTTGGAAGGGATGAGTTCCCTGATATTGCAGGGATTGGTCCTGTCACACTAAGATGACTTATGAAGTGACCATCCTTGCAGGGTAGGCTCCATTTCACCACACCTCTCTGCCTGGGTCACTATCAGGTCTCACCTGTAAATACTAAGCTGGCCCTGCCGGAAAGATGCTGGCCATGCCTCGTAGCTACCACCAGAGGGCGCATGAAATTGTCAGACATAGTCCCAGCCCCATGTGACAGCCGCAAAAGGCAGGACAGCTTCGTGAAGTGAGTGCCAGGGGCACCAGGCCATCTGTGGACCCTCCCCACCTTCCCACAGTGACTGGGGGGCAACGGGTACACATCTCAGGAGAATAAAGTTGACAGTGGGAATGCCAATATCTGAACCCGACCCCAGGGCCCCTCCTCGTATTATACATCTGCGAAGCTGGGTCCAGGCTGCATCTGGACAGACAAGCACTGTGGGACAGGTGGTAACAGGGGAGGAGGAGGAGGAGCATCTGCCTCAACATCTTACAAAGCACCCGGTGACTAGAAGACTCCTTGACTCTGCAGGCAATGCAACCAAGGACTGAGTGTCAGCACTGGGAGCCAGGAGCATTGATCCAGCTCCTGTCTGTTCCCACTCCATCTGGCTCCTGCCCTGCCACATGGGACTGGCTGCCTGTCACCCCTGTGGAGGAACACTGGCCTAAGAAATGAAGTCATCCAGGTCACCGAATAGCAAATGGCCTGAGCTCCTGATGACCTCATGAGAGACTGGTTGAGTGTTTCTGTGACACACACACACACACACACACACACACACACACACACACACACACACACACACACCTAAACATGTCAGCAGCAAACACTGTTGAGGGTGCTTATATGAGCCTCAGAAATCACATCAGCTATATAGTATGCAGGGCCAGGAAGAGGTATAGACCCAGACCCTTAAAAAAAAAAAAAAAAAAAAAAAAAAAAAGAAAAAAAACTTTTAATAAGAGGACCGATGAGATGCTAGTGTGCAAAAGCACTTGCCGCTCAAGCCCAATGACCTGAGTTGGATCCCAGAACCCACAGTAAGAGAGAACAAACTCCTGAAAGGTGTCCTCTGATCTCCACACACGTGCTGCAGCATGCACGCATGTATGCACACACACACATACATACATGCTAAGTAAATAATGAAATTAAAATTTACTGAGATTTTTCAGGATGAAAATACAGCCCATTACCTCCAGCATCACTTCCTGGAGTCCTGGAGCAAGTCAGGCCTGGTCACATGTCTACATGTCTATGGAGCCAACCCTGCTGGGACTGAGTGTTCCCTTTGGTAAACTCAATTGGGTGGGTTCCCAGGGCCTTTCTGGCCAGTCTCCATGCCTGTGTGGCAAGCTCCCTTGCAAATACGGCAATGAGCTCTGTCAGTTTCGTGAATCTGGCCTGGGGACATGCAGAAAGTGGGTGCCATTGGATACTGCAGCAGTCTTGGGCCTCGTCCCTACAGGACCTGGCTGACCTCCTCCCTTCCACAGGGATTATACAGCCAGACCATGGAAGCGGTGGACCACATGTTACAGTGTTTCATGATGCAGAACCCCACCGTCAATGAGCTGTACTTCCTGTTGTCGGTGAGGGCTGCAGGCGGCTGGGGACGGGACAGGGGTACACAGCTCTGGCCTGAGAGTCCCCAAGAGGGTACTCCACAGAAAGGGAGACCTGGCCAGTAGGCCTCCCATGCCTAGAAGTTTGGAACATCTGGAGCAGATGGGAAAACATCAATCAGCCTGATCAGAAAGGGATCTGTTGAAAGTGGCTTCCCCTATCACCTGTGCCCATGGCACAGTGTCCCCCCAGGGTGTAGCTGAAGTTTTCCTGGTCCTGCCTGGCCCACGGTCAGGACAAATATCTCTCACCCGCCAGCCCCACAGCTGCTCAGACCCAAGCAAATACACAGAGACTTGTATTACTTATAAACGGTATGGCCGTGGCAGGCTTCTTGCTATCTAGTTCTTATATCTTAAATTAACCCATTTCTATAAATCTATACCTTGCCACGTGCCTCATGACTTACTGGTATCTGACATGTTGGTGGCTGGCGACTCCTGACCCAGCTTTCTTCTACCCAGCATTCTCCTCTCTCCTTGTCCCACCTACACTATCCTTCCTGCCTGGCTACTGGCCAATCACCGTTTTATTTATCCATCAATCATAGCAACCTATATTCACAGCATACAGGACATCCCACAGCACAAGGGCATGGGTCCCCCAAACCCCCTCATCTGCCCACTAGGTGTCCATGGGAGGGAGACCACTCTGCAGATAGTGAGGGGCTAGTAGCATGGCCTAGGCCCAGTGGAGAGGCCAGCTCCATCCAGGCCATCGGTCAGGGCCAATGGGAGTTCCTAAGGAGCCCTGAAAGGAAACCATAGCCACTCCTGAGAAGAGAAGGATGCATAAGAAGGGGCTGGAGCCAAGAAGAGGCAGGAGCCAGCTCAGTCGGTCAGAGTAGAGGTAACTCTGCCCACTGGAGCCTGGTGAGGGGTGAGGGGCTATGGTGAGGCTCAGTCAAGCAAGGGCAGGGCCACATCAAGAAGCCACGAGCAGAAGCAGGAGCGTCAGGAAGGAGCACACAGGCAAGGGAGCCCCTAAGCAATAAGATAGCATGCCAGTCTAGGACTGTGCCCAAGTGGCAATGGCTTCTACCAGCGGGAGTCACAATGGTTTCCCCACCCATTCCTGAGTCACTCCATCTCCAAATATCCTGTGTCTAGATCAGCTGACCACACACCCCTCTCAGCTGTGCCGTGATCTAAAATCAGTGCCCACCCTCTGTTTGCACGCATGGCAGAAAGCTCTAGGAAGGGGCATCCGGCACACGGCAGGTTGGGAGTTTATGGGGGAGGGACCGTTTCTGCTGCGCGGGAAGTGGCCAGTTGTGAAGGGTGGCTCTAGAGACTGGGGCTGACAGGGGACAGTGGTGAAGAACAAGGAGCCTTGCCGAGGGGTGGGCACGGACGGCCGTTTCTGGGGGTCTGACCCAGCGCTTGACTCCACCCACCCTGCAGCACCTGTATGTCTGGCTGGCATCGGAGAAGGCTCATGAGAGACAGCGGGCTGTGCACAGATGCATGATACTCTTCAAATTCCTGCACTGTAAACGCTGCCTCGAAGTAAGCTCCATCGCCCCAGCGCCTCACCACCCCAGCTCCCTAATCAAAGGGTGGAGCCTCTTGCTTAAAAGAACACCTTCGGCCCCTGCCTCTAGTTCAGGGTGACCCTGAACATCCTGCTGTCTGATGAACTCCATGACAAGGGAGTCTAAATAATATCCCCTCTTTGTTCTTTTATTTTTAATGGAGTAAATAAATTTTTTAAAATTTAATTTTCTGGGATTGAGCCGGGAAAAAAAAAAAAAAGACTCCACAATGAAGACAAATCACGTTTTAATGTGATCCGATATGACTATGGGGTCTGGAGAAGTGGCCCAGCGGTCAAAAGCACTGGCTGCTCTTACAGAATTCCCAGCATCCCCATGGTGGCTTACAATCCTCTGTAACTCCAGTTCCATGAGATCAGGCACCCTCTTCTGGCCTCTGCCAGCACCAGGCACACACATGGCACACAGATATACACATGCAGGCAAAACACTCATACACATGAAAGATAAAAGAAAGATAAATCTTTTTTAAAAATGTAACTATGGTCCACAGAGTGCCTACTTATTTTGTAAATGGTTTTATTGGTTCCAGAATTGAGCTCAGGGTAAGAGAAGCCAGATGGCCAGGCGTAGTGCCGCAGGCCTTTAACCCCAGCACTCGGGATTAAAGGTGGATCTCTGCGAGTTTGAGGCCAGCTTGCCCTACAGAGCCAGTTCCAGGACAGCCAGGGCTACACAGAGAAACCCCGTCTCGAAAAACCAAGAGAGGGGCTGGAGCAGAAGCCAGATAGTGTACTACGAGGTCACAGTTGGATCCTGTCCTAAGACCTTGACACTCTGTTCATGCAGTTTTATGCGGTTTTTGTTGTTGTTGTTGTTTTTGTTTTTTGTTTTGTTTTGTTTATTTTTCTTATTACATTACCCCCATTCTTTTCTCTTGATTACCAAGTTTTGGAGTCAAGTCCCTATATTTTGCCTAACCTGAACCCTGCCATGCAATTCAAGGGATCCTCTGGTGGAGGCCTCTGGTGGGGTTCCCGAGCAGCCAGTGGGATGCTGTAGGTGGGCCCACCATCAACGCCATGCTCTCTACATAGACCAAGGAGAACTTCAGGAGGATGGGGCAGCTGGTGGCCATGCTGGGGATCCTGTGCCAGGACTCGGACAGGACCATCCAGTGCTTGAGTCTAGAAGCTATGGGCCATCTCTATCAGCTTCTGATGCAGCAGAAAGGTGAGTGCTCTCAGCTCAACAGCACACCTGGCCCCTCCGTACCTCAGCCTGGGTTGACCTCATCCCAGCACTCCTGAACTCCACCTTTCCCCCAAGTCCACCCTCAGCCCGATCTTGGCTTCAGCCATAACCTCCTAATAACACAACCCCTAGGCCCAAATAAACGCAGGCCTGATGCCAGTTACTAATGGGCTCAGCCTGACTCCTGCCCTGTCCCACATTAACCCCAGCCCACTCCGCCCTGCCCTCACCCCTGCCTGCCCTGACCAGCAGAAGTTCCAGAGATGGAGAGGGAGACCCGTCAGGAACTCGCTCTGCCTGATGCACCTGGAGCTGCCTTCTGGAGCAGTGGAGACCAGAGGGGCGCTCTTCTGATCCCCCAGGATATGGCATCCAAAAATGACAGCATCTTCTTCATGAGCAGCAACCAGGCTACCAAGGTCAAAGCCTTTAGAGTCTTTCTGGCTGGGGGGGGGGGTGCATAGCCAGAGCAGACTACCACATCTGTGGGTGGCAACAAAGGCATTCTTTTCTGAGCCGTTGGAGGGGAAGCACGCAGGTTGGAGGGACACCAGCACACACTAGACTATGTATGTGTACCTTGGACAGGGGTCTTCACCGTTTTCTCAACTAATCCCTTTCTCACGTTTTCCCAGCCTTCTCTAGACTGTTTTCCCATTTGCAGCCCTTCTGTCCCCTTCACACCAGGGTTTGGGTTGTGTTATCCTCAAAAGCCACGACCTGAGGCTGTGAGCTAGGTACCAGCGTTAGCTGGATGGCCCACCCTAAAGCAGCCTCAGAGCTGTGAGTTGAGGAAGTCTGGGAGGTGTGAGCTCTTGCTTGCTCAGGATGGGTTGGACTTTGGCGGAGACTGACCCCTGTGATCGGCACACTTGCCAGGCCTTGTGAGACCTAGCCTTCCACTTCTCAAACCGGGTCCATGTGGGGCCTGGTAGTGGAACTGGCCTTCAGGAAGCACCCATGACGTCCTACCCAAACAGATAGCAGAAAAGTGGGGCACACGGCTAATGAGTGCCCCAGCAGGACTTTGGTTCTGATCCCATGGACTCCAGAACACCGCAGCTACAGTGAGCCGTCCAAGTTTTGAGGCTCCTTAGAAGTTCAATACAGAAACTCTCAGTCCCTGGGGCCAGCCCCTCAATGGGCCTGCCTAAAAGGAAGACAATCTCATTTAGCTGTAGTTTGCACCAGAGAACCCGGGCTGAGGTAGAGACAAGGCAAGGAGGGACGAGTTCCACTGGCTGCCAGCCCAGAAAGTTCCAGAGGGAAGGTGAGCCACTGGGAAGCATAGAGTCCAGGGCCTGGAGAGCCCTGCTCTCTGTCCACAGGGGAAGACACAGATAAACTGGATACGAACAGAGAAGGAGCAAGAATGGGAGGATCTGCTGATTTCGAGATGCAGGCCTTGGAAAATTCCAAAGGAGAGCAGATGTTCTGGGCTTCAATCCCCTCCCCCCCGGAAATTTGTACAGACTCCTCATGTGGTCTTAGGATGCAACACACTTTCTTCATCCTCATCCTCTTCATCACCTTTACCACCACTGTCATCGATAATACCTCCAACATCACCATTGCTATCGTTACCATCCACTATCATCACCACCCTTACCATCCCCACTGTCACTACCACCACCACCATTAATTATCACCACCATCACTGATACCTCCAACATCACCATAACCACCAGCATTCACTATCATCACTACCCTTATTATCACTAATACCCCCTCATCACCATCATTTCCACCATTATTCTCACCACGGTCATCACCACCTGTCACCACGCCCACCATCATCCCTTTCATCGCCATCACCACTGGCATCATCATCACCACCATCAACATCATTACCACCACCATTCACCACCATCACCACTACCATCGTTACCACTAACATCATCGCCATCACTTCCACCACCGGTATCATCACTAAAACCATCACCATCATCTCTATCCCTACTGTCGTCAACATCGTCACTAGCACCACCGCCATCATATTCACATCACCTCCATCATCACCACATCATTGCTGCCCCCACAACAGTCATAATCACCATTACCCTTATCCCTACCTTTACCATCACCACGATCACCACCACACCATCTCGCATTTACTCATGGCCTCGATTAAAGCTCCACATCACAGGAATCTTTCCATTCCTGTATCTGTGCCACTCTGAGCTCGGAGCATCTCTCCACCATTCTAACTTGAACTTTCTGTAAGGTCGAGCGTGGTCTCCATCTGTGCAGATCAAAGAAGCCACTGGCCCCATGTAGCTGCTGAGCTCCTGGAATGAATCTAAGGCTGCCAAAGAGCTGAGGCTTTAGTTTTACTGAATTAAATATTGGTAGATTGAAGTCTATCATAGATCTAAACTATGATGAGTGGCAGGGCTGGTATATTGAACAGCCATAGTCCAATTCTTTCCAGAAGGTTCTGTCTGTGTGGTGATCTAGCCCAGATGTACCCTCCAGCGCACTAGGGAGGAAGACTTAGAGACTTAGACATACTGCCTTTGCGTTTATTGCCCCGAGTGTCCTTTCCATGCCCCTGAGTGGCTCGTGAGCTACATTCAAACATGACACTCACCATTAGACTGACCCTGGAGAATGGGATTGCCGAACAGAGCTGGAGGCTCAAAGCGCCCTACGTGAGACAGTAGTCTTGGGTTCCACACCAGCCTGGCCCCACATATTCCTACCCTGTTCCATGGCACCTCTCTAGGCCTAGAGGTCAGACCTGGTGGCCTGGAAGATCCATCACAGCTCTAAAGTTCAATTCTCTGTCATTAAAGCCCTCCTAAGAAGGACTTGGGCCTGGCCATGAGCAGCATTTCTCTGGACTCGGCGTCACATGTGGATGACCTGGGACCAAGATGGGAAGAGGATGGGAGGAAACAGAGTTTCCAGGGCCACCAGAACCCAAGAACAAGCCAACGCTGGTTGGAGTAAAGAGCCCTGTGCCTGCCCAGTGCTGGACACCATCCCCTCCCTTCCTGTCCCTAGGCATTGGCTGGGGCAGAGGGATATGGAAAAGATTGTGTACTTGGCCCACATAAATAGCCTAGAGGAGTGGGTGCCCAGAGATTTGGGGAGCCTGACCAAAGGGTAAAAGGGGACAGGCAGGGGGGGTTGAAGTGATAAAGTGACAGGCTCTCCACTCTCACAGGAGATCATGAGTCATCTTGCAATGACAGAGCTGACGGACCTCATCTGGACAGCCATCGATGGCTTGGGCTCTACCAGCTCTTCCTGGGTGCAGGCGGCTGCTGATTTGCTTTCCCTTGCCATCCAGGAGCATGGAGACAACCTGGCAACTGTGAGGGGTTGGGGTCCTACCCAGGGCCAGGGAGGAGAGGGGCAAAGTGGAGGACTAGGCAACAGGCAGCATCTAGGAGCCTTCTTTGGACCAGGATGGAGAAGACCGGGATCCCACTGCAGGCAGAAGACAACTCAATTAGTGGATGGATGGGTGGGTGGATGGATGGATGGATGGATGGATGGATGGATGGATGGATGGATGGATGGATGGGACTTAAGGGAGCCCTATGACACTTATCGATTATGTGCAGCTATGGACCACAGAGGAATGAGGTGACACAGGGAAAAACAGACCAGAACTTTTAGAGCTTGTGGTCTGATGGGGTGACAACATCCAGACAGAGGTGGACAGAATGACCCAGTAGGTTCAAGGAAGGGGGGAAGAGAGAGATGAGAGAAATGAACCCTATAGGGTGAGAAGTGTGCCCCAGCAAGAGACAGCTGATGCCAACTTCTCCAAACACCTCAGAATGCTGTACTGGGCCCCCCGCTTCAGACCAGATGTGCAGAGTAGGTGGGCTCTCCCCATCAGGCCCCTCCCACTACTCCCTGTCTCTAAACAGGTTGGTAAAATGGGCCAGGCCATCCACCACCACCTCTGTGCCATCCAAATGCCCCAAGCCAAGGAGAGTGCCCTGCATGTCATCACCTTACTGGCCCGGAACCACATCCCTGAGCTGGTGGCTGCCTTCCTAGACTTTTCCACTCCCCTGGACAGGTACCTAGCCCTCTCCTCCTCACTGACCCCATTACCTACCCTCCATCCTCCCCCAAGCCAGGGTCACAGCTTCTGTCCTCCTGTCTGTCCATTACAGATCACAGACCACAGGAACCCCCAGTGCTTGGTGTAGGGAGGGAGTCAGCGCCTCTGTTCATTTAGACTTGCCTCCTGTAGACAGTCCACAGAAACATCTGCCCCAGCCTCCACCACCCATGCTAAGGGGTGGCTAGTTCCCGAGTGCTCCTGCTGGGACCCCTGCTAACCACAAAGCCTTGCCATCCATTAGTGTGGACCCCTCTGACTTGGATCAGGATCTTCGTTCTCTTCTTCCTGCTCTTTCCAATAGCCCCCTGCAGCCACCTCAGCCCTCTCAGATGGGCCTGGCTTTTCTCCCATACCACAGGACCCCTGAGTCTGGGGCTAGACCAGGGTTCTTGTAACTGTCCGCGCCCCTCCTCCCTAAAATCCCACCTCTGGTTCCCATATCCTTAGTCTACAGGACCCACCATTCATCTGCCACACCTGGACGAGTCACCCCTCCCTTCTCGACAGGGTAGCTTCTGCTCAAAGAGAGACTACGCTTTGCTTTCTCAGACTCTTTCCAGACTAGAATTCCCCTCTGCCCCTCACCCAAACTTCTGCTTGGATCTCTTACTCCCTCCAAGATCCAGCAAGCCTCTACCTGGTGGGACCAGCATGATGCTGTCCTGCCTCTCTACTCACCCTCCCCTGTCCTTATCCAGTTCCTCCTTCCCAGATCAGGTTCTACCTGGCATACCCTAGGTGATGTCTTGGCTCCACGCTGCTCTGGGAACTCTGGAAACCTGTGAGAGAGCTCCTCCAAAGCCTAGAGTCTTCTCCAGGGAGAATTCTCACCTCAGCAGGGAGGTGTCTTATTTCCATTAGCAACTCGTACTTCCATTGTGTGCAAATGCAAATGCTGTTCTCTCATCTCTGGACTGTCTGGTTCCTTTAAGACACTGTTGTGAAATGTCACCTGGATCCTCAAGAGAAAAGTACATTTCTATCATCTCGGTGTGGAGTCTAATATATTCACCAGATTCACCTCATTTTTTAAAAAAAAAAAAAAGTTGCATTTTACTTTGTGGAGAAAAGTTGTCCAACAGAGGACAACTTGTTGGAGTCAGTTCTCTCCTTCGCTATATGAGTCCTGGAGCTAGAACACAGTAGACTGTGGGCAAGCACCTTTACCTACAGAGCATATCGATGGCCCAGATTTTCACAACTGCTTCATAAGGTACTTGGTCATGTTGCCTGGATGATATTTTTTCTCTCTCTCTTTGAAACCTAGGTCTTTTACCAAGTGAGGTTTACCAGCCTAATTTTCCCAAGCAGCTGGTGCACATTTGATTACGTCAGAAAGCCTTTTCGTTCTTACTTCTGGGACGTTTACTTGACTGTGTTTAAAGTTGGTCTCTGCCCAGGTCATAATCTCTGGTCCAATGCTACTTTTCTCCCACCTTCATGGTCACACCTGCTGATGTTCCTGGCTTTCCCCTAAACTCACTGTCTTCTTCATGTCACTCTTCCGCCTTGCCTGAATGTCCCTTATTAAATGTCCATCTGAGTCAGACCTCTCTTGGCCACCCTTTAATTTTTCCCCATTTCCAAGATTTCCTTGTGTGTGTAATACACACCTATGCATATGATGTGGATGTGGATGTGGAGACCAGAAGCTGACACTGAATCTTCCTCAATCTCTCTCCACCTTCTACTGAGGCAGAGTCTTACAGTTAAAACCAGAGTTCGCCAATATGGCTAGTCTCTGCCTTCCAAGAGCTGGAATTACAGGTGGGCTGCCACACCCACTGGGCATTTATGTGGGTTCTGGGTATCTGAACTCTTGCAAAGCAAGCTCTTTAAATCACTGAGCCATTACCCAGGCTTGAAAGTCCAGTTTGCTTGTTTGTTTGTTTGTTTGTTTGTTTGTTTGTTTGTTTTTGAGACAAGTCTTGCCAGGCTGGCCTTGAACTCTTCCTCCTCCTCTGTCTCACTCCTTGAGTTCTAGGATAACCTAGCTGAAGTCATTGTTTGATTCTTTCTATTTCTTTCCTGAGTTCAGTCAGTTCTTTTCAGGTCATACTGAAGATTTGTCCTTCCTGGAGCGCATTCCAGGTGGCTGAGGCTCTAAAGTTCTTCTCGCTGTGGAGTGAGTGAGTGAATGAGTGAGTGAGTGAGTGAGTGAGTGAGTGAGTGAGTGAGTGAGTGAGTGAGTGAATGAGTCCAGGATCCCTCTCTAGTACTAGCACTCTAAGGCCATCTTCACTTTGTCGACTCATATCTTCTACTTTTTGCAATAAACTGTAGAGCTGTTTGTCTTAGTCAATGTTTTATTGCTGTGAAGAGACATCATGACCAAGGCAATTTATCAAGAAAAGCATTTCACTGGGGGCTCACTTACAGTTTCAGGGGGTTAGTTATCATCATGGTGGGGAGCATGGTGGCAGGCAAGTGTGGTACTGGAGAAGTAGCTGAAAGCTACATCCTGATCCATAGGTCAAGAGAGAGAGACTGACACTGGGCCTGGCTTGAGCTTATGAAACCTCAAAGCCCATCCCCAGTGACACACTTCCTCCAACAAGGACACACCTCCTAATCCTTCTCAAGTAGTGTCCCTCCCTGATGACCAAGCATTCAAATATGTGAGCCTATGGGGGGGGGGGGCATCCTAATTCAAACCACCATACTTTTCATTTTGGAGTTGTTGGAGTGTTTCATGGGAATTCAAGTTCAATGGCGCCATCATCTGTCAGTACAGCAAAAGCTGGGCCATCTAGAAGACGTTGGGCATGGTGGTAGGCACCAGCACCTATGCCCTCTAGTTCTTTGGGCTCCTTTTCTCTTCTCTGACAGGAATGTTTCCCTCTCTCCCTTTCCCCACCGGGTCTCCTCCCCTCTCTCTCCTCCTCCTCTTCAGCCCTTCCCCCTCTTCTTTCTTTTTCTTCCATCTGACTTCCTCTTCCTCCTCCTCTCTTGTCCTCCCCTCTCCCTGCTTTCTCCCAAAGCTGTACATTTGAAGACAGCAAACCATTTAATTCCTTCCCTGTGTCCTCTGAGGTTAGGCACTGATTGAGAGCCAGGAATGGGGAGTAAGACACACACACGGTGATCACGCCTGCAGACAGACAGTTGTAAGCAGTGCTGAGGAACGGAGATGCTCCGACCTCCGGAGTTCTCTCTCCTCTGGTGTATTTTAAGACTTCAAGGGGATTCATCTTCCTGAAGGTGATTTGGACCCAGTCTGAGCTTTCATTTGCCCTGCGTCCACTTCCCCAAAGCTTCTCTTATCTGCTGCTGTCTGTCACAGAGCCCTGAGGTGGGCCGTGGAGCTTGTCCACTAGGGCTGGTGTTTTTTCCCTTTACTCCCAGTGAAGAGGCCACAGTGGCACTGTTCCCGCCGAGCTCTGTGCTGTCTTTCAGAGAATCTGGGAAAGTGCCGATCTCAGCAAGCAGCACCTTCTCCGAGGCCTGGCACGTCACGGTTCCGTCTCACTGCTGGAATGTGTATGTTCCTTCCTCAGTCCCAAGCACTGGCCCCATGACAACATTTACAGAGCCTGAGTGCGCTGCACACCAGTGGAGCCTCTCCTGCATAGATTTATCTGGGTTCTCATCAGCTTCTACCAGTCACCTGGGCACGGTCATTTGTGATGGTTTTAAGCATAAAAGTCCCTGCTAGACAGTTTGGGGGCTGCAATGGTGGTGGGAATTTGGACATCGAAATAGGCTTTATGGCTCAGATTCCCAGGACAAAACCCTCCTCCCACCTACAGTGCTGAAGATGGGGAGGGAGGAGCCTCTCTTTTTCTGCAGGGCAGAGATCTGTTTGCTTATTGCTTCCTATTTCCTATTTCTCTTCCCTAAACTATGCACATAACTCTATGGAGCAATCGCCTATTAGGTGCCCATCATGGGCAATCTTTCTTTTAAAAAAAGATGCATGTCATAGCTAAATATGGTGGTGAACACCTAGAATCCCAGCACTCAAGAGGCTGAGACAGGAGGATTACAACTTTAAAGAGAGTCTATGTACCGACCCTGTCTCTAAAGGAAAAAAACAAATTGCCACCTGGCCTGAGGGAGGAATAAAAATGTCAGGAGTGGTAAGACAGGAGTTTCCTCCTCCTCCAAGATCAAAGATGGCCAGATCTGCATAGCAAAGTCCAGACCAGTCAGGGAGACAAGAAAGACCCTGTCTCAAAAATGTACCCATCCCAAACGGTGCAGTGTGCGCTGAAAGCGTAAAGCGTATAATACGGATTCTTCCAATGTCTTCCTTCTTGCCTGGCTTTGTTTCCCTCTGGCTCTGTGTTTAAATTTTATGGTGTCTCACTGTAGCTCTTTCCTCTTCAATGTTCTGTGGTGCTAATGTTGTGATTGCCAAGGGTCCTCTTCACTGTAGGTGAACATTTAATTATTTCCCACTAGAGACCTTGATGAACAGTGCATCTTGTGAACTTTGCTTGTGTGTGTCCTAACATACTGGAGAACTGGGTTTCCCACGTGTGATGTGTGTGGGGTAGGAGGAGGGTGTTATTAGGGACAATACCCCTAGAAGAGAAAGCTGTGCTGTGTCCCACCTCCATGGACATGCAAGGAGGTGTAAAGCATTTCCCAGTGTGCTCATGCTAAGTCCCACTCCAGGGACAGACTGCTATTCTCTGAGCATCCCTCTTGCTCCACAGTTTCTGGTGTTCAACACCTGCATTTTAGCCAATCATCCCTGTTTTGGCCAATTTGGTGGGTGCTGGTCAGCTTATACTATTCGTTGTTACTTCCATGGATTGAGCTTGACGTGACATCTTCCCGTTCCATTTTTCTTTTGTGTATGTGTGTACAAACGTCTGCGTGCATGTTTGCATGGACACGTGTGTGTGGACGGGTGTAAATGTGGAAGACTGAGGTTCATGTCAGGAATCATCTTCAATTGCTCTTCAACCTGATTCATTGGATCGGCATCTCTCAATCAAGCCAAGAGCTCACTGACATGGCTCATCTCATTAGCCAGCTTACTCTGGGGACCCTCTGTCTTAGCTCTTGGCAGCTGGAATTATTGATGGATCACCACACCCACCTGGCATCTCTGTGGTTTCTTTTCTGGGGATCAAAATTCTGGTCCTCACACTTGCCTGGCAAGCCCTTAACCACTGAGCCGCCTCCCATCTTCCATTGCTTCTTGCTATTTGGCAGTGAGACTGTGCAAAGGGCCCGCTCGATTTTCTGCTGGGTGTCCCTCTTTATAAATACAATATGAGAATCTTTCCTGAAAGCTGGACACGGTCCCGTCTTGCCTGCCATGTTAGGAATATCTCCCATACAGCAGCTGCTTTCCCATCCCTACCGCATCCTTTTGTGAGCAAGTACCAACTCACACTGTCCTTACACACTGTCGTCTTGTTTGTTTGTTTGTTTGTTTGTTTGTTTGTTTGTTTTTGTTTGAGACAGGGTTTCTCTGTGTCGCCCTGTCTGTCCTGGAACTCACTTTGTAGATCAGGCTGGCCTCAAACCCAAAAATCCACCTGCCTCTGCCTCCTGAGTGCTGGAATTAAAGGTGTGCGCCACCACCGCCTGGCTATGCACTGTCTTCTAAGGTCTCTTGTTGGCCTTCAAGTTGACCTCTCCAGCCCATCCGGAATGATTGCACATGATGCAGATATGGTCCCGGCATCGCCCGCTCACTCCTCTCCCTGCTCAGCATTCCTCACAAATCAAGTACTTCCTGCCCTCAAAGGGCTCTACTTTTCCATCCCCAGGCCAACACTCCGAGTTCTAACTGTGACAGCTTGGTAGCAATTGTCCTCTATAGAGCACCTTTTCCTCTGACTTTCCAAGAACGTCTTCTCTACTCTTGACCCTTTGCATTTCCACAAAACACTTAGAGTCAGGCGCCAAAAATGCCTTTCTTCTCCTCTGCCTTTGATGGCTGCTTTTACTTGAGTGTTCAGAAGCACTGTGTGAGGGGTCGGAGAGACGTCTCAGTGCTTACAAGCATTTGCTGCTCTTTTGGAGGACCAGTTTGGCTCCCAGCACCAGTGAGTTCACTGCCCAATACTTAGACTACTCTAACCCTAGCCTAGCCACACCAGTTCCTTTTGTTGGTATTGCAGCTTTGACTTCTAATATGTCCACATTCTTGCTTCAGACTTGTCTTTTTTCTTTATTTTTAACGCGTGTGTGTGTGTGTGTGTGTGTGTGTGTGTGTGTGTGTGTGTGTGTGTAAATGCAGGTGCCTGTAGAGTCCAAAAGAGGGCATCCCATCATCTTGCATATACCTTACACCCATCCCCATTATATAGACTACCTAATATGAGGTAGTGCTTGTGAGGCCCCATGTGAGTGCTGGGACCCCAACTTAGGTCATCTGTAAGAGCAAGGGCTCTTAACCACAGAGCCATCTCTCCAGTGCCCAGACATGTCTATTGTAGATAGAATTTTATCAAGTTTGTCATAATCAGTCTTTGTCTTTGGTTGGAGTACATGTCCTATTTGCATGTACTGTAACTGTCAATGTGTTCAGGATTGACTTTTCTATTCTTACTCTTCCCATCAATGTGTTCAGGATTGACTTTGCTATCCTTACTCTTCCCATCAATGTGTTCAGGATTGACTTTGCTATCCTTACTCTTCCCATCAATGTGTTTGGGATTGACTTTTCTATTCTTACTCTTTCCATCAATGTGTTCAGGATTGACTTTGCTATCCTTACTCTTCCCATCAATGTGTTCAGGATTGACTTTGCTATCCTTACTCTTTCCAGACAAGTAAAGGACCTTCGAAGTCCTCTTGTGAACTGCTATGGCCCTGTGTGAATGCCTAGACTCTCCCCCGGGTATTGCACCTTCCAAGTTCCTCTATACTAAAACCCGTGTCGTAACTTCATTCTTACGGCTGGGCAGTGTTGCCCTGTGCGTACTCTGTAGTGGGTGTGTGTATATCATTGTGTGTCCATGCCACATTTGGCTCATCAGTTCATCTGCTGATGGACACCCAGGTGATCTACACCTTTTTTTCTGCATGAGCAATTTGCTGTCGACACTGGCAATCAAGAATTCCACCTTCTGCATCTGCAGCTCCCACATCCACAGAGTCAGAATATTTCTCCAGAAACACTATGCCTATGCTGACCCTGCACAGGCTCGTCATTACTCCCCAAGTGATGCAGCTTAGTTACTGCTTGCATGGAATCTGCCTCATATTAGGTAGTCCATATAATGGGGATGGAGGTTAAAGGATGCCTGAAAAGGGGCGGGGTGTAAGGTATATGCAAGGAGTTCACCATGTTATACAAGGGACTTGTGCAGGGGTTATGCTGGCTTGGATTGGATTTTTGAGGTGGGGGTCTCACTGTAGGCTAGACTGGTCTAGAACTCACTGTGTGTCCCAGACTATACTCACACCCTTACAGTCCTCCTGTTTCAGCCTCCCAAGTTCTGGAATGACAGACATAGGTCACCATGCCCAGCTAGAGCATCTACAGATTTTCATACCCAAAGGAGATCCTTGCTGATACTATGGGACAACTGCGTATGTTTGATCTGTTCTCTGATTTTGGGGGTGCCTGCGTTTAGTGAAAGTACAAGGCAGCATGGCAATGTCACATCTAATCCCGCCCCTCCCACCCCCACCCCACCCCATCCCTGAGGAATTGCTACAACTTTCCAGAGCACTTCTGTCTCTTTACACTCCCCCAGCGGCCCATGGATTCCGGTTTCCCCACATCCTTGTCAAGGCTTGTGCCGTTCGCTCCTTGGTCCATGCCGTCACAGTGGGAGTGAAGTAATATGAACTGGTTCTCACTGGTGTCCGCGTCCTCCGAGTGCTTCTTCCTTGGCCAGGCATCTCTCTTGTTTTGAGAAGTGTCTTTTCAAGCCTGTGGGTTGGTGGATTCTGGCTGTGTTTCCCGTCTCTCTTACTCTCTGCCCCCATCCCTCCCGAGCCTGCTTAGATCTGCTGCTCCCACTGCAGCTGAGATGAAACCGCTCTTATCAACAGCTTCACGCGGCTGGGGCCATCCCCGCCTTGGTTAGCTGTCTGCCATCCGGCTTTCATCCTGCAAATGCTTTCCCATTGGCTCCTAGGATTTCCTCATTCCTTTTCCCACCATGCTCCCCACTGGGCTGTCACCCCTAAGACTTCAAGGATTTTTCTCAATGCTGCATGTCTCGCTCCCCTGAATGTTGCCTTCAAGGTGCTCGAAGGTGCCGGTGAGGGGACAGCAGCCCCAGGGAGCAGATTGAAAGTCTCACCCTCTAGGCTCTCAGATACCGGAGGGCTCTCTCTCTCTCTCTCTCTCTCTCTCTCTCTCTCTCTC